ATATGATAACTTGATGACAGTATTCTTTGGCAAGGACAGGTACAGCACTTACATTTAAATTAGAATATTATTCTGTTAACTCAACTAGATCCATCTTGCTTCAGATTGTCTATGTACATTAGAGTGTGTTTTATGAGATAGAATTGTAAAGGTACTAAGACAGACCCCTGAGGAACCCCTCGCTGTTTAATAGTATGACCTTACCGGACAGACTTTTTTTGCATTCTCAAAAATCAATGGCTAGGTAGATTGTTGGCATATTTGTTTTGGTAATGATGGTGAGTTGTTAATGATTAAAGTGGGACTAAACATCTAAACTCCATCCACAACCACATTTGAAAAGAGCTACTAAACTAGGCGGTAGAGGGAAGCGGGTAAGAGGAACAGTGTGACTGGTCAAACAGGTATCCACACTTTAAACACCGCTCCTGCAGTCAAGTGCCTACAAAACACCTAACGTTAAATCAAGGCAGTCTTTTGTGATATCACCAACTACTGGAAACTGCATAGGCCACTGAAGGTAGATTCATGTGCTTTTAGACACATCAGAGAGCTGAAAATTATGATTATAATTAGTAGATAATGCTAAACACCATATGTAGTATTAACAAGCGACAAAAGTGGATTTAGTATTTAGTTCCCCTTTGATAGCTTGCCTTATTTTTGTCATTTAATAAATTATGCATTATTAGAAAGTAAATCCTTGGTTAATTTTGTGGCATGCTGTCAAATAGGAGTCTGTGGAGAAGGTTCCACACTAATTAGACACATGGTGAATGTTGTGACAGTGTAAAAGAGAAAAATTTGTTAAATGTGCTTGTTGTATTCCCAGAAAAATAATGAATGCATGCTGCTGTCAGTGTTTTTTGCTCATACACACTGCCTGAACCATCATCAGAAAATCATTTGTCACATTTAATTGAAATATGGATTATTACCGTTTTTGCCATGCCAAATACATGTTTATTTCAATAAAGAATCCAGCAACTGAATTATTTTTCTCCAGTGTTCACTTTTTACAAAACAAGCAAGCAAGTTTCTTAGCTAGAAAAGTTCAAAAGCACAGCTCTTCTGGGGTGCCGGGTCTGCAATGTTCAGTAGTTTTATAAAAAATACAGAAAGAAACACAGGTGAATGGGTAGGGTCAAAAGTATAATAAATCTGATACTAATCAATACTAAAACTACAGAAACTAGATACTGTTTTTTTAGCAGGTATCAATTCAAAAAAATTACATTCACAGGACAGAAATTTATTGTTTCTGAATAGCTTTAGAATGATCTTGAGCTGTATCAGAACAAGTATAAGACCACATAGATTAGTCTAAGCCTATGAGCCACAACGGAACTTATTAGACAGATATAAGGCCACATGGTAATAAAAAACAGATATAGATAGATAATAGATAATCAAATTTTGTTGTTTAAATGAATTTAAACCCATGCTTCAATACCTCTGGAACAACCAGTGAGAAACAGGACCTCTAACTTTAACTCTAATCTTTAAACAGTGCAACCTATTCATAGTTCAGGTCTCATAACTTATGGAGAGTCCAAGTTAGTAATTCATCTTTCATATTTACTCATATATTCTCTTTATCTATTTGACAAATTTTAAATGATGTAATCTTGGCTTTGAATAACGTAGTCTTAAATTGACAAAAAATACATTTGACATTAGAGAAATTGTTTTTAATTATCATTGTGGTATCCAGTCTATTCCTTGGTATCGAAATCAAGTTTGGAATTTTAATACCGTGCTTTATGTTACCATATAGTCTTGACTCTGTGCTCATTTGTAGTCACTGGTACCAAAAATGAAAATTCAAAACGCACTTTATCACTTTTATAATGTTGTCTCTGGCTATGTTTAAGCAGATGTCATTCAATGCAATAGTTGTTGAAAAACCTGGAAATATCTTTAGTCACAGGCGTCATTTTGGCAGATGCAAAGCTCATGATTTATGCTGCCTCTTTCCACTCTGCTGCTTTGAAAGTGAACCACACACTCTAGGAACAAATACATTAGCGGGGTACTACAAATCAATAGCAATGAAGTGAAAAAATATGATGTATAATATTGCCTTTAGCCAGAGCTTGAATATGCTGTTAATCAGGTTCTCCTTTGCTTTGTAGCTGTATTTCGAGGGTATTAAACTGGATTTCACTCACCCCCATCCAAATAAACAAATGGTCAAAAGAGTCCAACTATATCAAAATATAACTATGCTGGCCTGTGGTTGTAGGATGTAGTGGGACTTTTGGCTCCTTTATGAAATCTCAATCTTTCGATCTGTTCACTTCAAAGAGCTGTTCAAAAGACTGGCTGTTTATACATGTATTTATATGACAGAAGCCAGTGTGAGAACTTATTTTATCCACAAACTAATCACAGAAAGAAAAAATTACCAAGGCTTTGATTTGTTTAAAATGGTTCAAATTGAGCGTGAGTGTGTTTATCCTTTAGAATGATGCAGGATCTAAATAAAACATTGCCCTACATTAATAATTACAAAAAAATTCAATGTTATTATGATATCAAATATGATTTTCTGCACAAAGCTCTCGCTCACGTTGCCTGCTCTGCTTCTTGTCCTGATTCTTGTGTTGGTTCAGCGTTTATCAGTGTAAAAATGCATACAAATTATAAGAAAAAAGACTCGGTTCTTTTAAAAAATGAGATCTGGCTCAAACAGTTCACGTTAATGCTTGTGTAACTTTTCTGGTGTTATTGCTTTGTCTGGAATGTTTCACAGTATGGTATTAAACATCTTCTTCGTAAACTTCATGGAGATCAAACCAGACCAAGTTACAGGTCAGATCTGTGGAGAAGCGCCCACATTCAAAGTCAGAATGCCTGTTTTTGTATTTTTGTATTTTAGGTATTTTTGAGCTATAAAACCACCTGGAATTGAATCAATATAAGGTAGAGCTGTTTAATGTCATACCGTGGAACATTCAGGGCTGAGCAATGACATATTCGAGACAAGCAGGTGATGGACCCTCTACCAGAAAAGTTACACAATGTACCTTTACGGATCTGTTCAAAAGGTATCACTAGTTAGGAGTAACCTAGATTCTGGCTCTTATAATATACTAGTAAATATAATCTATGGTGGGAAAAGCCCTTTGACTGCATGCATAAGGTGATGCAAGGGGATTCTATTCCGGTGAGGGAGCCTGTGAAAAGTGGATGTGCTGGGAGTGATAAGTGGCGCTGTTGCCGGGGCAGGTTGCCGGGGTGTCTGCAGTCTGGGGGTTTGTGGTACCTGTCTCTTGGTTCAATCAGGGCTGCAGTGGATGACACATGGAGTGAGTAAAGCAGAAATGAATTAGAATGAAGCGGAAGAATTGAGGCTAATATTTAAAAGGTGCACTGCGTAACTTTTCAGGTTGGGGTTCTGCTCCCATGGAGACGGTATTGCTTTGTCTGTAATGTTTCACAATATGGTATTAAACTTATATAAGATGTATTTATTCAATGATAGGTGTTTTTATTGCTTATAATACATTTAAAAACACACATTCTTGCACCTCTTCACAGATCTCACTTGTATATTGGCCTGGTTACCTGCTTGTTTCTATGGAGATTGAAAAGTTGAATGACATACTTTGGAATATTGGAGGTAAAGCAAAAACATCTGGTAACTGGTGGGCCCTCTACCAGAAATGTTGCACAGTGCACCTTTAAACTGGCAATAATTTAGTCTATCTAGGGCTGTGTGAGTGAATGGTTCTTTTGCATTTATAATTACCTTAATCATCTTTTAACAAACATTCTCAGAATTTTCAGTTTGCCTCTCATGGTGTGCCTGCTGATAAAGTGGAGACCTGCAGCATCAGTGGGTGTCACATAAGGTCGAAGGTTTAGCGAGGCATTTCTTTGTGCAGTTTACACATTTTACACTTTGTTTTCTCTGGGTGCGCCACTTTCACCTATTGACCTATTGAACACAAGGCTCCAAGGGGAATGCGCAGATCTTCAAACACAACCCAGCACTTAGTATGGATGAAGTGCAGAGAATGTGTTTCAAGGACAATGCAGTTGTAACATAAAGCAGTTGTATTCTTTGTAATGAAATCGTACAAAACTGCCCATTTAATGGTGGGTTCCACTTTGTTCAGTGCTTGTTTAGTGTAACCGTTTGTCCCAGTTCAGTCTTTTGGGCCTTTGTCCTCCCTGTGGATATGCACAAAAACAGTGTCCTAATTCACAATGATCACAAACTAGTACATTTTGTCACTGGGTATTAAATGGAATTCTTTCAAATCTGCCTTGGCAAATTTCCCACATTCATACATTAAGATAAATAATGCCAAACTGTCTTTGGATCTTTGGAACATCATAAAATAGTTTTGTAAATTGTAAACACATGTCTGAATCTAATGTTTAATATTGGAACCAAAAAGAAATCACTGAATTTATGGAAAATAGCACATAAATAGTAAATTTTCTTCCTCCAAAGTCTGAACCCTGCACCAGAAACTAAGGATACACCGATACCAATACTGGTATTGAATATCAGTGTTAATCCAGGAAAATTTGTTCTCTGATATTGGTTCCGCCGATATTCTGGCAGAGCCTTTAACTGAATGTAAAGAGACTATTTACTGACTAATGTACATAGGTCCAGGACAAAGTTGTTCAGTAGTTACGTGCAGGATAAATAGAAGTTACATAACACAGCTGGATAGATTTTACAATACATTGACTTGTTTCACGAAAAAAAAAAAAGAAAATTCAATCCCTAGACTGTTATCAGTTTATATATCAGCAGATACTTAAAGCCATAGTATTGATATCGGAACTGAAAAAGCTGGATCAGTGCATCCCTAAAAAAACAGCAGCTTTTACTCAAAGAGAATTGGCTGTAAACCCCTCCGTTAAAAAATCGCAAACTTCAAAAATCTTGAAAATTCTAACCTCTGTATCTCCACAGGATTAAAATTCTATTACGTGCAGTTCTAGTGTCTAATTCCTGTTGTGTGTTCTGGTTGCAGTGTTGAGCTGGACTTCAAACTGCAGGAGGACAAACTACAGCCTCTGATGAAGAGACTGTGCCCCATGGACAGTCAGCAGTGCCCCGCTCTGCCTTACCCCAACGAAGTGTTCACCTCCACCCCAAAGAGGAAGTCCAAGTCTGAGTCCAAGAAGCACGCTCGCTGGAAACTCTGGTTCCTTTGAAGACAGTAAACCTGTGGAAACTCCATTTTACTGCGTATATAGTGGTTGTTGTTCTTACGATGAACGAAAAGATGGGGATTAAAACCCACACGAAGGAGTGACACTGCAAAGGGGTTCATTTGAGATTCTGGAGATTAAAGGAATATGTTATCTTTTGGGGGCTGGAGAGGAGGACCATTCAACTGTTCATCTGGTGAGCTTTTGAATACATATAGGCCAATCATTATAGACCAATTAAATCTGATAAAGTCGTGGTACTAATTAGTCAATTGGAGTTGCTGTATTTTGTGTTTTTGCTCTATATGAATCTTTTGCAGTTCCTGAGACTTTTTTCTGTAGGAACCAGGATGATAACAAATAGTTGGAAAAGTGGGATAAGTTGTGTATTGTGGTAGGAGATGTTGGGACACACTTGAAATTTTTAAGCTCATAAGATTACCATGACTTTTTTATCTCTCAAGAAACAAAACTGTGATAGTGATATGTCACGCCATAAAAGTTAGTCAAAGGTATTTTTATACAACTAAGGTAAGACAACCAAAAGAGGGACAGGTGGTCACCCTCACAGGGACATTACTGGAAGAATGACACTTTTTCCAATGGTATGTAGGTTCATTTGCATTTCCAGTCAAATCTAAGCTTTTTTTAACCTCCCCAACTTTGGTTCTTTTGTACAGACAGTAAGTGGAAGATGTTCGCTTGTTGACATATTTCAGCTGCGAGCTGCAAGCCATCTTCAAATCTTCAGAACTGTCACTTGTCTGTGTTCTACTTATTGTCTTTAGAAAAGAACTACATTTGTGAATGTAAAAAGAAGACAAAATTAAGGTTTTGTTGTGTTTCAGCGCTGCTTTAGTTCAAAGCAAGGCATAAACTTGATGGGTTTAGTCCTGGTTTCGCAGGTTTTAACCTAAGATGACCCAGCCCAATTGAGATGGCTGGGTCAGAACATCTCTGGGTCAGTTGGAATCTAGAGGGATCTATGGAAGAATCAGTCTCAATGCACATAAAGAAAATAATGTGAGTATTTGACCCCACCCAACAGACAAGCTATAGTGTAAAACTATCTCAGAATCTACTGTATTAATACATTTCTGCTGTGCACCTCACCTTATGTTTACATTGCCTTCACCCCTTAAATTGCAATATGCATACTTATGATCTTCTTTCCCCTTCAGACCATAATGCTTGGCAACAAGAGGAGGCGCCATGCGGAGGTCCCCTTTCATGAGCTAAAATCTTTGAATGGACATCAGCCCTGACTTCAGCAAAGCACAAACAATTTGAAGACTGAAAGAAACAGGCATAAAAGACTTGGAGTACATGCCACCTCCCTCCTCTCCCTCCTTCTATCTGCTTCTATCATCTTGTCTTTCTAACTCATTGCAGCTCTTGCTAACACACCTTTTTGTCTGCTTTTTAAGATTTTCATTTTAAGCTAGTCGTGCCAACAGCCAGCAAACTTTTCCTGAGTCATCCTCTCACAAAAAAGCAGATATTTTTGAAATGCTTTGCGACTTTATGTACTCAACAAAAGTCTATAAAAACACAAGGGTTTATGGGTAAGTGAGTTTTTAATCCCTGGAAAATATGTACTGTTTTTGAACAAAGAGTATTTTCTACGATGACTTCAGAGCTGTTGGTCTCCGTCACAATGCAAAGTAAAAAAAAAGGCTATTTTGACATTTCTATGATATTATACCTTGCCTGTCATATAGCAAAACCTCCTATATTTTTTAAACAAGTATCCTTCATGTAGCTGCGGACTCACTTGCAAGAAAGTCGATTTGTATTATGAATGTCACAACACCATCTTGTAAAGTATATTGTGGTTTATTTATTAACGTATTTATTTTAATGGATGCACTAACCCTATAAGTGCAGAAGGGCTATTCACAGTGCAAATGAGACTACAGTGTATGGTTTTACAACAGCAGACACCAGCTACAGGAGAAGTTCAATGTAGCAAAGAGACACTGGACTTGTTACAAAGCAGAGGCATACACTGTGTTGATCATCATTATAGTTATTGGTTAGAAGAGGATTCATTTTTTCATCATTACAAAAAAGCGTGATAGCGATTTCCCATGCAAAGACACGTACTACGAAAAGTGCAATTTAGTTACGACGATGTGCAATATTATGCATTTTTCTACTGTTTATACATCATTAAATATTAAAAACATTTTCAACTAAAAGCATTCTGTGTCTATGTGAATTTCTTTATGAGACAGCAGAAATTTTGCAGGACTCTCAAGAACCCTCAAGCCATTGTCTTAGTATTGTCCACTCATATTAAGACTAGTCTGCTTATGCTTCTGTTGTAGGGAGTATTATAACTCTGATAATGCAGGCCAAGATAACAAGGACAGAGCGGACGGTGTCCCTGGCACTGCAATGCAGTGCAATTTCTCTGATGTCAAATGTATTTTTTGTCAATCTACGTTATTCAAAGCCAAGATTACATCATTTAAAATTTGTCAAATAGATAAAGAGAATATATGAGTAAATATGAAAGATGAATTACTAACTTGGACTCTCCATAAGTTATGAGACCTGAACTATGAATAGGTTGCACTGTTTAAAGATTAGAGTTAAAGTTAGAGGTCCTGTTTCTCACTGTTGCCCCAGAGGTATTGAAGCATGGGTTAAAATGTTTCTTAAACTTACTAACCTTAACCTAATTATTTCAGGAGTAGCTATTAGTGAAATAAAATTAAAGTGAAGGATATTACCAACGCAAAAGACATTTTTGAAAGAAGTATGTGTGTCTGTCCCAGATCCTCTACTGATTTCTCTGAATGGTTTAATATTAGATTGAAAGAACTGCATGGGCGGAGCTAACAGACAAAGAAAAACAAAACAGTGTCCCTCAATAATTATACAAAAATCAAGTACAGGACTTTGAAAGTGTCCTTTATTGTCTGTGTAAAGGAATTTGACTCTTATATTACCTCTTCAATTCCATTGGGGCAGCTTGTCAGGAGCAGTGCGTAACCTTCTCTAGATCTTTAAGAAAATGTGCTTGGGTTTTATTTCTGACATACTGGCAATGACAAGTTACAAACACGTAAAAAAAATAATAAATCTAGGGCTTAAGCAGACACATTTTTATATTTTCACTGTTTGTAGACTTTGGTACAGACAAACCCTGAAGATCTGCTCCATCATACTGACTGGCTTGAGCTATCATCCACTCCTCAACTAGAATACACAGCACTTGTCTTTTCTAGGGTCCCAGTCTATATATTGGTTGGCCGATATTATCAGCTGATATGGGCACTTGGAGACATACCAGCTATTAGCCTAAATCTTGCAGATATGGGTCGATAGTCCACGTGGGCATGTTATATCTCATTATAAAGCTTAGACTCTCTATATTATGTCTATTTAATCCAATTTACAGGGAGATAAATGTCAAAATATGTGGAGTAATTTGTCTGTGTCTGTGACGCTGTACTGCCTTTAAATGCACCCCCAGATTCACGTCACTCACGCACGCTTGTTTATACATGCAGCTGCTGTTAACATGATGGATTATATTATATTTACATTTATCGTTTTGAGTCAGGATTAAAAGGACACTTATTCATGAAGACTTGTGATCTGAGAGGTGCCTGTATGAGTGGTGAGTGTTGCAAGTGTCAGTTTTTGAAGCTACTTCTGGTTCTTTTTCATTGGTTAGCACTTATCTGCCATAAGCTATCAACAAACTACAAACAACAGCCTGTTGTCCTTTACATTGGCCTAGCTTAAAGTGACTATAGAGGCTGTGTACGTATTACTGGACCTACACTGATATGTAAATGAGCTGTGAATAGAGGTGTGATCCACATTTATGCATAATTAATTACCATGGCTCGCACACATTTACTGCTAAAGGCTAATAATGGTAGTTTATTTACTTTCTATACTGGCTAGAATGTCATGCAAAAAAGCCATTAGGCCGACCTACTGTCTTTAAATATGACTGTAAAGAGGCAGAACAACAACAAATGTACCCTAAATAAACCCAGTACAGAATCCAGTAGAGCCAGACCTAAGTTTTATTATCAGCTGAAGATGTATAGCGAATATTTACATATACAATGAATATACCGGCTTTTGTATCACCTATCGGCACCTCCAACTCTCATTTTATCTGTATCATACTGGTCACAAAAAAATAAAAAAATCCATATTGGTCGGGCCCTAGTATGTTTCAAAACACTGAAATATATATGTTCTTACTTTGAGTGAGCTTGCATCTCCACAGATCTGACTGTAACCTTTCCTTATGGTGTCAGCTGCTTGTTTTCATGGACAGTTTAAAACCGTACTGTGAAACATTATAGGCAAAACAATAACATCTCCATGGAGACAACCCTGTTACATAGTGCATTTTAATTTATTTATTTTTTATCTTTTGATGCCATGTAAACACAGCCTATTGTATTACCCTCACAGTTAATGATGACTTTTTCATAACTGGCGTTCTTGATTAGAGCAGTACATCTGGTGAGAGTTAAGCCCCGCCCACTTCTCTTGCAGCTATAGGCCTGGTGCCAACCCACATCAGCTCAGCCTTGTGAGTGCTCTGTTTAAGCAGCTTAGCCACGTTAATATTGTGGATTTCTTTTTTCAGGCACTGACATCACAACAAAATGTGTAGTCTGCCTCCAAACTGGTCTTGTAAATTCAAGCTGAACAACAGATCATATTCACTTTTTCAACATAATGTTAACATATTGATAATGTTTTACTGATTTAAAGGGGCAAGGTTACGCTGTTTCTGATGTTATAATGTTGTTTCCTCATACCCAAAAACATACTCAGAGTTGTGTTTTGTTTCATTTGTTTCATACACACCTGCATATTTAGGATTCTGGTATTTATTTTTGAGACTCTATACACGTTCACTAGAATCATGGATAATTTCAGTCCTGGAATTGTCAATCTCTATTGAACTAAAGTAAAAGGTAGCTGTTAACTTGAACTGCCACTACGTGACATCACAAGGT